ACAGTACATTCTTATATTTAAGATCGTGTCTTAAATACATATTTAAAAACATTTTAACTAATAAAATGATTCGTACGGATGTTATACATATCATATTATGGTTAAAAATATTTGAGAATTTATTTGAGAATTATTTAAGACAATTTTTAAATATAATAACATACTATGAACAAGCCTTAGTGCGCACTCAGTGCACACTAGTGCAAGCAACCGAATTTGCTATAATAGAAAGTTACTATTTAGTACGCGTATCAAGTGCACGATGTAAACCATGCCATAAGCGCATACGCGAGATTTCTGTACATACTTTTCGGGGCCATGTACTGAATCGAAGATAGCAGTCTAGTAGTATATAGAAATCTGTGACTAAGTTTATACGGCAACTTAAAACCGGTTTAGTAACTACCGTAGTTAGCAAACTCTTGAATCCGATTGGAGTATATTTCTAAATCTAAAAGAATATACCAATCGGATGTGAGAATTTACTAAATACGGTTGTTACTAAACCGGTTTTAAGCTGCTGTGTAAACTTAGTCTGTGATTGTGTACTTCGAAACGAAGTGAAAATTACAAAAATAAGCAAATTCACTAGGCATTGACCAATGAAGGTTGCTTTGCAACAAGAAACACAAGTCGACAAACATCATTCTATCTTTGTTCCACATTTAGTGAGTAACAAAGATAGGATGTGTCGATTTGTGTCGACTTGTGTCTCTTGTTGGAAAACAACTGAAGTTACAAATATTCTGGTAAATTTGTTCACTTTTGGCATTTTCACTCTGTTTTGACATACACAATCGACCCCCAGGTACAAGCAACGCGAACAAAGTCAATAGTACACTTCCCGAATTCTGTATTCTAGGGATACTAGCCAAGTATACCTAGAATAGGTGATGGAAAGAGACGGGCGGATCGGGCGCGTTCAGCGGAAAAAGCGCTCAGTGAGCAATCAGCAATTATTGGTTCTTACTGTTAGATCCCTAAATCTAAACCAATTACATTGATGAATTACTCAACTGTTGTGCAACTGTTAAGTTCGCTGAACGCACCCATCGAGAGAACACACGCGAGAAGTTCGATGTGCCATATGCTGGCGGCACTACTGGGTTTCCCGCCAACATGGCAAAGATGTCGGCGCTCGTGTCGTTTCCCGCCAAGCCCCCGCGGCAACCTCGTACGGCGCAAGGAAGTTTTTGTATGGCGGTATAAGAGAGTTTACTCCGCCGTTTTTCGCGTGAATATTTCGCTGGAAAATTGAGCGCCGAGATGGGGCAGTCGGACGATATCGAGGATTCGACCTACAACCGGCATCAGGATCTCTGTCAGAAGCTAAATATGGACGCGATAGCCGCGTCCGAGGCTTGGAAATCCTACGAAATTATACGGCAGAACTACACTCTCGAGGCGAGTATATTTATTCTCTCTTCCTCTCTGTCTGTCTCTCTCACACTCACTCTTTTCTGCGTAACTTGGTCATCCTGACGACGAGGATCGTTTACGCGGACGATTGTTTTCAACGCCGCGAAACACCCAGACATTCTGCATCCTACGTCGCGTTGGTCACTTTAAATCGCTGATGTTCCGCGCGAGAACAGAGCAATTTTTCGCCGCGCGTTTACCAAAAATTGTTTAAAACGCGACGGCTGAAAATTTGGCGCGGCAATCTCAAAAAAATTGCATGTCCAATGGGGAGAATGTTCATTATTTTCGCACTCCTATGATATTTCTCGGTGCAAGACTCAATGTTATCCATGAATCTTTCAACATTTTTCACTTGAAAATCTCATGTTTTTTCGTTCCTTCTTTTCCAGTAATGCTGCTTCTTGCCTGTACTTTGTTTCCTATTAATCTTCTAACATATTGTTGTCAGAATCTAAATTAGATATTGTATATATTTTCAGGGTGATCAGCTGCATTGGATAGGATGTGCGTTATATGTAGCCTGTAGAAAATCCTCCATACCCACAGTGGGAAGGACAGGCACTAATGTAGAGGGCAATTATGTGTCACTAACACGTCTTCTACAACTGTGTAATCTGCCACTGATAGAGTTCTTTAGGAAAAGCAAGTCATGGGCAGATATGGCCAATATGCCACAAGACTTTCGCAGCAAAATAGAAAAGCTGGAAGGAAACTTCTCAGTTTCTATGGTCATATTTAAGAAATACCAACCAATATTCACTGATATATTTAAAGATCCAAGGGAAGACATATCCAGACCACCTAGATCTAGAAGACATAAGGCAGTACCTTGTACACCTGCTAGAGTCTTTGAATTCTGTTGGACATTATTTATATTCATTAAGGGTGCAATTTCTGATATTTCTGATGACCTTGTTAACTCCTATCATCTTCTGTTGGTCTGCTGTGATCTCATTTATAGCAATGCTCTATTAGCTAATAGAAAAGACTTGCTTAATCCTAATTTTCCTGGTGAGTATTTTTATACTGAGAGAAAAAGTATTTAAGAAATAAAAATATACAGTGGATACCAGTAATTTATTTACTTATGTAAAATATTTTTTAAATAAGAAAATCTACATTTTCTTAAAATCTTAACTTTTCATGAAAATATTTATTTATTCTATTTAAATATAAGAATTTAGATTTAAGTATGTTAATAGCTATCAAATAAATATTTTTTTTAGATATCCCAAATAGCACAGAGAATTCAAAAAGAATTCAGTCTTATGTCACCAATTCTGAGTTAATTTTCAGATGCAAGAAGAATTCTTCAGAGTTTAGTTCAATAAAAAAAATTATTTTTGCATCTAAAAATGAACTCAGAATTGGTGACATATGACTGAATTTTTTTTAAATTCTCTGTGCTATCTGGGTATCTTTTCTCAGTGTATATTAACTAGTAACTGATACATTTCTAATTTATCAGTTCTAATTTATCGATTAAGGAATTTTATATCTTGTCTTTCTCTTAACAGGCTTGCCAGCAAATTTCAACGACGAGAACTATATTGCACCGCCAACGGCGGACTGTATCGTTAGTTTATTGTGTGATCGTCACGAAGCGATTCCTGTTGAAGCTAAAGTTATAAAGGAATATTGCATGAAAAATTACATCAACAAACTTTTTAACGAGAGACTCCTACGTGGTGATCAATCCAACTTTTCAGGGATACTAGAAGCATTGAATTTTGATGGTAATAGCAAAGCCATCAATAGAGCTTATGAGCAACGTGTCTTGAGTGTCGGGGATTTCGACGAGAGAATCTTTTTAGGTAAAATTTCCATCTTACAATTACATGGAAAAAGATACTGTTAAATCAATAAAATTGATCCACAGCACCATTTATAATTGGAATAAATTTTGATTTAATAGCAATGTTATAATGAAACTAATGTTACTTGTCAAAACAATGTTTTATATGATTTTTTAGGCTTTAGAGGTGTCCATACATATTAGATTAATCAAAGTTAAATCCATGCGGCTCAAACCCGGAAATCAAATCTAAGATGTGTTATGTATTAATTTCAATAATATTGCTATTAAATCACATTAGATTTGTCCCAATTACGACGCTATTGACTAATTCTATTGATTCAATAGTATTTTGTTTCCGCGCGCGTATAGAAACTTATATTTTTTTATAAATATCAATATTCAACCATATTATATAGTTACCACCAATGCAAAAAGAACATACGTACGCAACGCGATAAGCTTATGTTTGTAATATTGCATGCTTTTGCCAGCCTATTTTGCTTCTGCAATTGTTAATATAAATGATTAAACGAAAATCACCATCATACAAAACGATAGTTTGCAACTTCATTCATATTGTGTTCTTGAAAATTTTATTTAGTATTTTATTTTTAGATAAATTTTTAGATAAATTTTTAGATAATTTCAAAACTTTGTTCTGTTTCCTTTTTTCATCATCTGTTACAACTTTTTAAATCATTATTATACATTTATTTAATTTATTTATATAACATTTTTATTCTTACTTATATAATAGCTCATATTTGCACAATGTAGTTGTATAAGTTGCAAACACCATGTACATATTACAATGAAGATATCTGAGCTTGTGGATAGGTGATTTTCCTAGTTGGAAAGAAAAGAAAATTAAAAAAAAAGAGGAACCATTATTAAAATTAACCCTGATTTAGTCTATTAAGTTATTTTATTTTTTCTCTTAACAAATTTGTTTGTGCTTTGCCGCGACTGTACTTTACAGCGAATTGGAGAAGAGTAAGACTGAACAGCATATCAAATTCGGATATAATTGGGCAAAATATTGCTAAGCATGACCAGTTTGCTAAGCATGTAGTTTCACAAGGTGGGTTTGTAATGATTTGTGAGGGAATTTTTTATTTGGAAGTGTTCTGTGAAATTTATTTTCCTTTCTATTTATTAACTGCACGTTTTTTTAAATAAGTTTACTCTATTTTCTTTTAGGGAGTTTTACTTTTAGAGTTCTTTTACTATAGAATAAAATATCGTTATTACGTATGTTTTTACTTGATTCTTTTTGTTGTATACATATTCTGTATATATTTTAACAACCTGATTTTTTAATGCTTCTTATGCTAGGTTGCTGTAATCTCTGCTCTAATAAATTATGGTCTCGTTGTATTTATATAAATACTCTTTGTGTAAACGCGAAATGTATGTAGTCGTGATTACATTTCACAAATTGCAAATAAAAATTTTGATAGTGGTATATGATTCTTATTTCAGGCCACGACGCTAGTGAGAACATCGGCTCGCCTACGCAAATAAACATCGACGATTTCCACGAACAATTACAGATGAAGAAAGAACAGCACACTGGAGTAAGTTTTAGAGAATATTGTATTCACTTAGAGACTGCTGCTCAAAATTATATACATACAATGCATTTTTTTGTACAAATTGCGGAGTACGTCATTTAAAAATTTTTGTAGCAGATATATCTGGCACCTCCTACGCCACTGACCGGCCGTAGATATCTTCGATCCAAAGATATGTCTAGTATAATAACGCCAGTGTCCACGGCGACTCAGAGTGTCATCAAGTTACAAGCTTTGATAGCTGGACAATCCGCACCGAGTGCGGATCTATTACAAATGCTTAACAATTGCTCTCAAGATGTCAAGTCTTTAGTCGAGACGAAGGTAAAACAACTCGGTGAGCTATTCTGTGCGAATTACAACAACAACGCGAATGCCGCCACGAACGATAACTCAAGATCAGATTTTGGAAAGAAACGTCTTCTCATGGGTCAGACTCTGTTCTACAAGCTCCTGGAAATGATCTTGAACGATGAGAAGCGTAAAAAACCGAATTATGATGTAACTGTAAGTTTGTGAACGATTCAAAGTCACAATTGATTCACGGATTGAGAGATGATTTCGAAGGTTGTGCGGTGACTTTATATATCGATTGTATTATCTGTTGCAGAATCTTCTTTCGAAAGAAATTTTCATCCATTGCCTATTCGCCTGCTGCCTCGAGATAGTTATATATTCGTACAAGAGCAACGACAAGACATTCCCGTGGATATTAAATGCTCTAAATCTCGACGCTTACCAGTTTTACAAAGTCATAGAAATTATAGTGAGAACTGAGGATCAATTATCGCGAGAGGTTGTTAAGCATTTGAATCAGATCGAAGAGAAGATACTGGAGTCGCTGGCTTGGCAGAGCGACAGTCCTTTATGGCAAACCATCGACTCCTTGACGGACGGCGTGCCAAGCTGCGAGGAGGTGTCCTTACCTGGAACTTTAGAGACAGTCGATCCGAACACGCCCGGTCAACCTGTGTTGAGACGAATCGCTCTGGATCGAGGTACTCATCATGACATTCAGCAAAGTCCAATCTCGTCTGCTTCGGAGAGGTATGATTCCATTTTCTGAAAAAAGGACAATAGCAGATTTCAATCTCTGATAAAATTAAATTGGAAAACAAAACAATATAACTCCTTGATATTCAAACAACTAATTAAGAGATAAGTAGTTAAAAAATTAATCATAAAAATGTTTGACTAACGAATAAAATTAATTATAAAAATGTCTGACTAATGAATAATTAAAAGTTAAAATAATAAACATTAAGCAATACAAAATTAAACCAAATGTATGCTTTGGTCCTGTAATTGGAATATTTTTAATGGTCAAAATATTTACAATAATATTAAAGTCAAAATGCCAAGTCAATTGACATAATAGGGAATAAAGTCAAATCAAATATAATTAAGTAATATGAAAAGTAAAGCATAACCAATGAAAAGTCAATGAGATATAAGTAAAAATTGATAATCAGATATTAATGTGCCTAATTGTTAATTATTTTACAATTTCCAATTAGGTTAATTTTTACATTATTATAATTAGATTAATTTTTTGAGCGCTAACATTGATGTGTCGTCTCTCTCACCACTTATCCTAATTAATTATTGACTAAATTTAAATCTCTATCGTTGTCGTTCATCTAAGTAATTTTCATCAAGAATAATGTACAAGAGATTGTGTATCGTTTAGATTTCAGTCTCCCATCGCAGTATCCGGCATAGCGAAGAAGCGATTGTTTCCCGACTCCAGAAGCACCGGTCAAAGTGTCTTACGAGTTGGACAGAGCTTATTATCAACACCTAAAGTTATGATAGATGGTAATCAAAGGATACTTTTGGTACCCGAACAGATTACCGTTCCGAAAACGTCGATTACGCAAGCCTCGGGCAGTGGCGCGCAAGCTGTACAAGCAGCGAGCAGGGATGCTGCTAAGCCGAAGAGAACGGGCTCCGTTGCGCTATTCTTCCGAAAGTTCTACAATCTTGCTTGCGTGCGCATGCAGGACTTGTGCAATTCGTTGGAGATATCGGAGGAGGAGGACAAGAAGAAGATCTGGACGATCTTTGAATACTCGGTCAAAGAGCGGACCGAATTAATGAAGGATCGGCATCTCGATCAGATATTAATGTGTGCAATTTACGTAATATGTAAGCTCGTGAAGATGGAGAAGAATTCGTTCACCGAGATCATGCGATGTTACCGTCTGCAGCCGCAAGCGGAGTCGCACATATACAGGTCAGTGCTCATCGGAAAGGTTTCCGCTAACGAACCGAGAACCGCCTCTGGCAACAACGAGAGATCAACAGAGGGTAACGGTACGTCGGAGAATAACGCGACCCCGCCAACGCCAACGAACATGATAGGCACGTCGCAGAACTTCAACGGCGAGCAACGCGGCGACCTGATCAAGTTCTACAACACGGTGTACGTGCCAGAGGTAAAGGAATTCGCGAATCGATTCGGATCGTCTCGCGGCAGCGTTATGAATCTCTCGCTGAGTCCTCTGCCGAAAGGAAAACCGCCCGCTAGTTCGCCCGTGAGGCGCGTCACCAGCAGCATTATGACGCGCACTCTAGACCCGAAGGCTATCAGCGCGTCGCCGGCGCCACAATTAAGTTATTGCTTCAGTCGTAGCCCTGCCAAGGTAAAGTTCACGTAAACTTAAACGTTTAACTTTGATCTCTTCGATCTTTTAGCTACGACTAAGTTAGACGTTGAACTCTCTACCGCTAAACGCACAGTTTTTCCGCTGAATACGCGTAATAGATATTGGATTGGTAATAAATAATGTCTGTCAATGTGGTCAATTAAATCTTAATCTGAGTTTTTCTTTGTCTGAAGAAAGTCTGAACTTAAATTAAAGTTTAATTAGTGCTGGTAAAAACAGTAAGTAATTTAGAATTTTTCAAATAAAATGTAACAATTGTATTTTTATGTTATTATTTTATGAAACAATAAATGCGAAGGATGGCAGGTTATAAACAGCGCATACATTGTATCATAAAATTATAACAACAAAAATACAATCGTTTTATTTTTTTCTGAAAAATCCGAAATTATACAATTCAAAATATCAAAACGATTGTCTGTTAATCCTATTGTGTAATTTACTGTATTTTCAGTATGATGTAATAGCTAAAGAATTAATGAAATTTGTATCAATAACGTCATAAAAAGTAAACAAACTACTGCTTAATAATGATAAACTATCCCCTGAGACAATATAAGTTTTAGGAAAGAGCTATTATGGTAGTGTCTCGTAATAAATGATCACTTAGATAAAAATTTAGCGGGAAGACACACAGTGACGTCTCGTCCTAAAAAATCGCTAGAAGTCATCTATAGTGGCGTGTAGTGCCCAAAAGATTAATTATGACGTTAGAAATGAAAAATCATGTGTGATTTTTGTAACTTAATACTTTATAGGAAAGAATACTTATAATCCTTAGTTAAAATAGTGTTGGACAGTAGCCGACTAAAATAATCGGGAAATCAATAGTTAAAATAAATGAATCGTTATATATGCAATTACAATTTAATCGATTAATGAAATTAATTATTAATCCGTGTATAATCAATAAAATCGAAGTTTTATTAATTAATTCCATCTTGATTGATTAAATTAATCATGATTTTATATATGACGTTTGATTAATTTTTATTATTTATTTGCCAATTATTTTAGTCATCTAACATTTTAATCAATTGTCGAATACCCAAAACTGAATTAGGATCCTAGGATATCTTTGGATATTCCTCAATAACTGAAAATATATATTTGAAGTGACTGTATCGCTTTCTATCTAAACATTTTTGCACAAATAAACATCAAATTGAAGTTTCATTGTTCTTTCCTTTATTTTTTCAGAATTTGGAAGCCATCAATAAAATGATGATATCCGTAGACGCAAGGAAAGGTGTAGGGAAGCGATTACTTTCGGACGACACTGACGTAGAAATGACCGAGGCTACATCTCCTACCAAAAAGACAACGACTTTCGTCGCGCGGAAGTTAGAAAATATTATTGGCGAACGGCGAACGCAAAATCAATAAGCGAAATGTGGTAAAGCATTAAAACTATTCGTAACTTCCGAGGACAGGAAACGCTTCTGATCTTCCTTTCATTTGCATTCAATCGACTTGCGAAGAAAGAGAGTACTTACACAGTCTACGTATAAACCGATTTTTACACCGACTGTGTAACGTAAATACGAATGAGACGTTCGTTTCTCAGGTATAGTCATTCTAGCAAATCGAAGGAAAGCCCCGTTTTTGGCGTTACATAAGGATACTGTAATGTCGTTTGTAATTATTGCTTAGTGTAAAGTCAGAATTCAATTTCCAGTATTCTTTTCGTTGACTCTTATCTTACCAGAGAATAGATTATCTTTTGTTAATTTATAGTTTATTGAACCAAACTGTCTTTCAATACTTTCAAATGCAATTTCGAATGCAGAGACATTAGGATTATAACATTAGAATGAGGCATTCGTAATACGCATATATTAATATTTTCCGTTGATTACTTCAGATACTGTTGTACCAGTGAAATGTAATTTTCTAATGTATACATTGCCAGATGGTGATATTGATTGATATCTGATATTGATATTTGATTACGATATCTTCTCATCATGTTTATTATGTAACTTGTAAAAATTTACGTAACTTAATTATATATATGAGTTCACAATTTTGCTACACATGTATACATACATATGCATTTTGAGTCAAAATATTTTATTCACTACATATAGTATATTTAAATACATATGTATATTTAAATAGGAAATACGGAAGAAGAACATGAAAAATTCAAAAAGAGTATGATTAGCAGCATCATCGTGACAGAAAATTGTAATTCACATTGCAATAAACAGATTGGTTCATTATCACCGAAAAGTATTTCAACGATGGATTCTTCGACAGATACAAGATTTATTTTTATCGAGCGTATAAACTATATTATCTATCGTTGAAATATTCACGCGGTGGAACGCTTTGTATATCATTAAATATTTTAAACTTGTAAAATAAAAGAGAAAAGTTAAATAAAATTATGGTATTAATTATGAATAATTCTTATTTTCTGTTGTAATCGATTCTCATTGACTGTATTATCTCTTGCAATGATACAACTTAGACATATTAACGAAGCGTCATTTGACACATATTTATCACACTGGAAATTGTTCTGGCTATTCTAAAGGCGCATTATCACTCCCAAAATGAAATCATTACTGTACATGTTATTACAGTCAAAGTCTGTAAAATGTTTATAAAAAAATAGGTTTCAGCCACATTTAAAAGTGGAAATATTTTTAACAATAGATTTAAGTTTAAACAAAGCAACGAGTACTCGTAACAAATACAAATGCTATTTTGGTAATATTCAATTTTTATCTGTTTTCTTTAAAAAAACAGTTATAAAAAGATTAATGTAATAAATTAAAGATAAAATTACAGTTGCATTTATCAGAAGCGTATTTTCTATCTTTAAAAAAATGTTATAAATTATTTTTATCTTTTGAAATTTAAGTTATCTAAGATCAAGAAAGAGAAGGAGAGAAAGAGAGAGAAAGACTCTCTCTATCAGTAAGAGGTGTAAATATTTCTAAATTCAACACCATGATCTCATTTGTCTGTCATTAATTATCGAACAATGTGTATAAAATGAGGATTGTAAAATTAAGGATTAAAGACAATTATTGTATTTATCGTGTTACTCGAAGAACTTCGTTATCGCGTCTTATTGCTATCGATTACAGCGAAATTGTACGCTGCTTCACTAGATAATTTCTTATTGCTTGCTTTTATTGTTAAAATTAATTTATATCGTATTATCGCGATGCTTTAGCACTGAATTAAGAAGGACACAGGTTTTGAGAGGCTTCTCATTATTGCAATTTGCGTTTAAGGCAATTACTCCGTAAAAATAAGCAGTTTCTCTTATATGATGTAAAAAGTTATCAATATACACGATGAATTGCTATTGATATTTTCTATGTACATATAGTACTGTAACACAGGAAATGTGAATCAGCGATACAATAAAAAAAGTTTAAACTTTTCTCTAGAAAATTTGTAACACCACCATAATTAAATTTTATTGTATTTTTTACACATAGAGCATATCAGTGTTGTGCAACTCGCGAATAAATAAGATTAAATTATTAAAAGCAGAAACAAATTTATAATATGAAATAAAAAAATAAGACATTTACAACTATTTTATTTTAATTTCCCTGTGCACTTCTTTGCAATTTTTCGCTGTCATTTTCGCGAAATCACAAACATTCGCGGTGTACATACACTCTGTCATTTTAAGTACAGAAAGTGCAGTGAGAAGACACGCTTAGGTCTGTTCTTTCGCTCCGCACTGCTGCACTGGTGCAACAAGTTAGAGTGAGACAAATATATATTTGTTTCACTCTAACTTATTGCAGCAGTGCAGAGCGAAAGAACAGATCTTTTTCTGTCTCTGTGTTTCGTGTGATCTTGCATCTTGGTTTTTGTCATTATGGTAAATCAAATAATAAATAAATTTACTTGAACTTAATTATCCGAATTCAATAAACGGTTTTCTTTTTGTTCAGGGTATCGATATCACTCATAAGCACGATAGAAAAGTGCGACGAACGGAGCCCAAATCTCAAGATGTATACCTACGTTTGTTGGTTAAGGTAATAATTTTTATCTTTAGTACCATATTTATACCGATAAAAAAGTCCATTAATATTTCTGTGAAATAAATTTGTAAAAAAAATTTTTAAATTTTTGTAATTAACTTATTAAGAACGACAATTAAACGGTAAGACATGTAAATTCTGTTCTATTCAATTCTACTATTTAGTATTTCATCGAAATTAGTTAATAAAAAGAACTCTCATGAAATTGTCAGATTTTAACGTAATTTCAGTTAAAAAAGCAAAATTTGAGAAATACTAGTACATTGAAAATATGATAGTGATTGTAGCTTTACTTCAGCTTTACAGATTTTTGGCCAGAAGAACAAACTCCAAGTTCAATAGGATAGTATTGAAAAGACTATTTATGAGCAAAGTAAACAAGCCACCGATTTCTGTTGCACGTGTTATACGACACATGAACAAACCAAGTCGTGATAACTGCATAGCGGTTGTTATTGGTACAATCACGGATGATTCCAGGATCTTTGAAGTTCCAAAACTGACGGTAACTGATATATATATATATATATATATATATATATATATATATATATATATATATATATATATATATATATATGTATGTATGTATGTATGTATATATAGAATTATTAATGTATATTATTTATTGTACATATATCTCACAAGAACAATAATCTACTATCTACATGATAATTTATTTTCTATAAAATTAATATTATAGTCACCCATATATAAACACACATATATAGTCACAGCTATAAACGCCAACCATCAGTAATATTATATCAATGTGGCTTCTACTCTACAATGTAACTGTTATACAACATGTGTTCTCACATAATACAAAACACATTATACCACTCACATTATACCAATATTAAAAACTTAATTATGTTACTAGAGATAGTTACATTATCATGATCTTAAAATGTTATTTTCTCTTAATAAGCCTTAAATCTGAATATTAATACAAAATTTTCTTGGTTAAGTCAAAGTTGCCTTATAGTTTAATTATAGTATTATTTTAATATCTATAAAAATATAATTATTTTCCATTTTAAGTTAACATTTTAATAATATTTACATGATTTAATAGTATTTAACATGATTTAAAAAATTAAAATTATTACTACAATTATTACTATATTGTTTCTATGCAAAAAAATGTCATTTACTGAAATATTATGACGTTTTAATAATAATGATAATATCGACTTTGATGCTATAGAATTGTTGAATGGAGAATTATAACATTAATGTAACGTTACTACTAATTGATGTTTACTGGGCAAGCATATCATATGCTCAATAATACGATACATTAATTCTAGCATTTTAAATGTTGCAGGTGTGTGCATTACGCGTAACCGAGAAAGCTAGGGGTCGCATTCTGAAAGCTGGGGGTGAGGTGATAACGTTCGATCAGCTGGCGTTACGCGCACCAACCGGCAAACGCACGATACTGATACAAGGACCTCGAAAGGCTCGCGAGGCGCAAAAGCACTTTGGACCAGCACCTGGCGTGCCGCATTCGCATGCGAAACCGTTGGTGCGATCAAAGGGCCGAAAGTTCGAACGGGCGAGAGGCCGCAGGCGCGGTTGCGGTTACAAGAAATAAGATTAAATCGAACGTCTTGTCTCGTAAACGTAATTTCTCTAGACATCCTTCATCTTGTGAATGATCATGCAATAAGACAATTACGAGATTAAGATTCCGTTGTGTTTTCTTGCTGCTCTTCCAGTTCTTCCGGTTTTTCCTCGTCGTCCGATTGCGTTTCCTCTACAGCGGTAACGTCCGGGAAGTACAGCTTCGACTCTTCGATAGCTTTCTCCGGATTTTCGCTCACGTGAAAGGGCCCGATCCCGGCGAAGCCCAAAAATGCCTCGCAACCCACTTTCTTCACCGTGCAGACAAATATTTCATAACTGCAACACGAAGAAATAATTCAATATACAGATAAAGTAAGCTAAACATCGTGAAATATAATAAAAACTGAGGAATCGGTGCAAACGATTTTTGAGAACCTAAGGAAGTCAGGTCGGTTTTTCTAGTGTCAAAATTGATTTTCCTTTGCGTCCTAAGTTTCTAAACTTTATGAAACGTTTTCTTAAATTCTTGCGAGAAAATTGCATCGAGTTGCTGAATCCTTCAATTAGAATGGAACACAAGATACCCTGTTTTCTCCTCCGTGCTCATCTCAAACGCTTCAATACTTTTGGCGATCATTTTAGCTTCAGGTGGCTTATCATATTCGAATATACCAAAATCGATAACGTCGTCGTTGAACATTTCCAGCACCATCTTTAAATCATTTTTGCGCGTATAGTCATATTTGAAGACAATTATTGGTACATTTGCCATCTTATCTTCATACTGTAAATATACATGTATACACGATATATTATTTTGTTAGATATATACATGTATACTAATACTATATCTAATTAAATCACAATTACATAAGAATAGAATTAACAAGAAATGTTAAATTCTAATTATAATTATGATTAAATCATAATTTTAACTATCTGCCATTTACCGGGTATGTCGTGTTAGTGTAAACGTTGAATATCGTGCGAAAAACGATTGCTTTGTTTCTGGGATTCGGAGGCGTCCAGATGAAAGGAAATTTTTTATTTTCCTTGTCAGGGACTTCAAAAGCCGGACAGTGTCTGCCAGCGTAACTGTGTAAGATAAAAGTTAATTTTAATAACATATTAACTATATATTATATATATATATATATATATATATATATATATATATATATATATATATATATATATATATAT